ATGTCAAGAACATTTCTGGGCCGAGTTCCTGCAATCATATTAAACGGTACTTTTAGCGCTCATCAACTTTTAATTACATATAATTAACTGATACAATACACTTTTAAATGCCTCTCCCCCCATGTGTCTCTAAATGACTATGGCCTTTAAATAAGTAATTTTGGTACTGGATTAAACATTAAGTACGAAGGGGCAGCAGCAAATTATCTGCAACGCACATTGATTGATTGTTTGGGGGATTGCGCAAATAGTACCACTCGGTTTGCACCCCAATTAGGAAGTAATAAAGTTTTCTGTTCCACGAGAATAAAATAGAGTAAAATATATGATATGTGATAAAACACTGGCAGGTTCACCCATTTGCATAAGGACCTACAACAGTATTTAACATACTGCATGGATTGGAGGAGTCTACCCATTCAACACCTTTTCAACAAAGCTGACAGTGAGCCAAGTTATTTACATCACGGGCATCATTTACTCGGCCTCAAAAACTAACTTAGAACTTAATTGTGCGTGTAAAAATTGGGCCACAGGAGCATAACCTCCTACAACAATAACCGGAATGGAACAATTCAATATTCCGGACCGGAAACAAGTAAGCACTATACCTTGCGATTAATAACGAAAAGCGGCGATGTCCACTCTAAAATTCTAGTTAAAATCCTATGATCAATAATTATATGAGTAGGTATTATCGGTTTAGAGGGGTTGAGCTGTGGCCGACTAAGAAGAAGGAAGGAAGAAGTTGTTACAAGCAAGATGGCCGCCGTGCCCCGGCGGCCCCGGCTCCTCCCCGCACCACCCCCCTGGCCCCCGGGGGTGAGGAGGAGGAGAGGGGCAGGGGACGCGGCACGACAAACCCCAGTAGAACACCATCGCCTTTTTGGCGCTTTTATCGCGCTTTTGATTCTTTTTGTTTTTCTAAAAGCGCGGTATAAGCGCCAAAAAAGGCGATGGTGTTCCACTGGGGAAGGAGGAGAGCGATAATTACGACATACTCACCGACATATCGTGGGCTCGGGATGTGATTCTTTACCAGGGTAGGCCTCGGGGTAGGCAATCCCGCCTCGCTTGTCCAGGTTGTGATCCTTTGGGGGTGCTTCCCGTCCCGCGCATCGTTGTGTGGCTCCAGGCGGCAACGCCAGGGAAGTGCCAAGAGTGACAATAGTGAAATGATTATTATAATGATAACCTATTATGGGCGATTTGCTATTAATAACAAGGTAGACGCACGTTAAAACCGTGTGAAGCTGAGCTAAATGTGCGTCTACCTTGGCCTGCGGCGCGCTTAATTTGAAATGTTTTCGCGATTTTGGTTGGCTTGCCTGTCCACCTCACATCCCACGTCTTACGCCAGGCGCCTCACTTCACGCCGTCTTCCGGGCGGTCTCCCCTTGCGCTTCCTGACAGAGCTGAGCATTTAAAGTTAAAGTTTAATTTTAAGTTCAAGTTAAGCTCAGCAATAATTATATTTGGCGACTTTTAAGAAATATGCACCAGCCCGTGTGTATACACGACGTTTGGAGCCGAATCGTATTTGTGTGGGAGTGTCATCGGCGTGCTCGGGAGGTCCCCAATGACGTCCCCGGGAACCCGGACGACATCGGCACTACCAGCCTGAACACGACATTTCAGTCGTCCTGGTCGTTCCGAGGTGACGGTCGGTCGGTCGGTCGGTCGGCCAAACCGTATCTTATTTTGACAGCCCCTGGCCCCATTTGTGACCACATTTTTGTGTCCATTAACAGGGACGTATCTACCACCACTTGTCGCTGCGACACGAGTTGTCGCTTGGACGCCTGCGAGGTAGCCCACGGCTTCTCTCTAATGCGTCTGTAGTGGCGGGGACTTTGGCTGAAAACGCCTGGAGGCTAGGCAATGCTTTCCTGAATCGGGCCCCGCGGTGGCCCCGGGTCCCTCCGAGCGCTTTGGACAAGGCGAGAGCTTCGGAGAGGCATTGATGTCTTTCGTTCCCGCTTTAGTTCTTAGCGCAGTTTACTTCTGGTTGATATTCTAGAATTGGGGAATAGGAACGTTTTAGGGGAAGGAGTCCCGACAGAGCAACCCCTGCTACGAGAATCGTTTGTACGTACAGACCAGACCAAAGCCTTTGTTTCCCTGCCGTGCCTCGCAGCTGAGCGCCTGACGCCCTCCCCCCCCCTTCCTTTTCCCTTTAGGGTGGTCGGAAGGTAGCTGCAAGAGACCGCTCCAGAACCCCTTCCCTAGGATTATCGGGATTGTAGGTTCGAAAATGAAGCTGCCTGAGCTGTGACCATATGTCAGTGCATTTGCGAAAGCCCCAAAACATGGAGTCAAGGTCGTTGTCGAGGTCGCTGTGGTGTGAGGTGAGCACAACGCCTATGCCACTTCAGCATCAGTGACTACAACTATCGGCGCGTAGGAGACGAGCTTTCGTTGTTCTCTCCATTACGTTCACCGATTGCGGTCGGGTTCCTTTAATTGTGTTCAAACTGGACTCAGGGCCGTCCTCGCCCCGGCTCTGAGAGATTGTGCCATCATTAATTCACGTAGTAACGCTTCTGGCGCGCGCCATTGGCGTTCCCTGGCAACCGGGCCCAAACAAACCCCTGCCTGCCCCGGCGGGCCGGGCGGGCCCCGTCCTCTTCACACTCGCCACGCTCACATGGGGCGGCCTGCGGCCTGGCCATCCCTCGCGACCAATACCGCGCATTAAAGGGCGAACAGCGTCCCGTTCCACTAACATGTCGCTGCCACCAATCTGAAAAGGATCTTCGCAAATCCATACAACAAAATTTTGTAATTTCGACCTACAAAATATCGTTGTTGTAAATCTAGGCTCGTCAATAAATTCCAAGTCGACACGCAGTACTTGAAGTTTCGCCATTTCAAATTGTAATTTTACAACACGCATTATGGAAAATTTTCCTGCAAGCCCTTACAAGTGTTAGGCGATGAGTTCACCATGCCCCCCCCCCTAATCCTTGCTTCCGGTCTCCGAACGTAAAAATCATGAAAGTCATTTCGGTAACACGAAAAACAACCTTGTTGCAACACCGACGTCCGTACCCGAACCACACACATCGCGTCACTGACTCTCCAAAAAGATATCACAATTTTTATTTTAAACATGATTTTTCAGTCGCAAGTGTTGTAAGTGCGTTTCAGCAGAGAGAGAGGCCGGCCCGTGGAGAGGGACGCCACCGTTCGATGTTAATAGCAGCTTTCCAACAGCGGCCCCTTTGTCCGTTCTGGTCCTATTCAGCGGCGCCTGCCGCCCATTTCCTTCCAGACGCCTCCCTGGACGGGGCAGCCCAGCTGGCCCCCGCCCCGTCCCGGCGGGCTGGGGCGGCTTTGGCACGGGGCGCTCGCTCAGTTCGGCGGGGGGTCGTACACCGACCAGACGTATGTGATGCGCACACACACCGCCATTGCGACACAGCAGTAGGGAAATGGCGGTGAGTCATTTTGTCGAGGGCGGTCTGGATGCAGAGAGGCACTCGGCCTCACTAAGGGATCATCCAGATAGTACGTCCTTCATTTCCCGTTGCGAAACTGATAAGTTGAGCCATTGCAAGCTCTCATAGCGCCTGATAGGTAGGCAACGGGTTTGCATGCAGTGCAGGCGTGTACTGCGGGATGGCCTACCCTGAGCCTCACAGGCGACGAGCTCTCTCGCAATTTACTGAATGAATCTGGGAAAAACGGACGTACTTTCGGGACGACTCCCAATTAAAAGGGGGAGAGGGCTTTTTATCTGAGCAGCATAATCAGTTTCTTCAAATTTCGATTCAGTGGGAGAAAAGGAGTAGATGTGTGGGCTGGAGGGTTCTTAGAAAGTTACAAAGTGTGCTCCCCTCAAGTGTACTTAGACAGGCCTATCCGTCTGATTCACGGTCCAGAAGTTGGAGCTGCTGCCCTTGTGGCTGTCTATCGTCCTGTCCCTGCCAATCCTCAGCGCGGCCCAGACCACAAGAGGAATCAATGTCTGTGAGTATGAGCTAATGCGCCTCATTTAATACTTCAAGGCACCTGGAGCTATCGGTTTGCACGTGGCACATACCGTTGGTGAAAGTTCTCGTAATAAATCTTGTGTCCCACGCGGCCACAATGTGGACATGCTTTGCCGGAAAACGCTACCCCTTGAAATTGCTCTGAGACTGAAAGGGTTAGATTGAAAAACTGTGTAACTTGCGTGTCCAACCATAAATATTATTAGCTATGCTATGACAACTGCTTGGCTCATGGAGCACCATAAAGTATGGTGGAGCCAACAATCACTATGTGAAGAAAAATACTTTGGGTTCTCACAATCATGTGGGTGGGTGGTGATCAAATATTTTTTTCTAGTGCTCCCTGAGCCAACCATTTTCTCCGCACTTCGCGAATCACTTTATTTTATGGGTGTTTAACACTCCGTTGTCGGGGTGGGTCCCAGGTGAGCGGGTGGGCGGGTCGCAGTGTAGTGTCGCCACCTGATGATCACACCTAATCCCGGGTTGATCGTGTTTCCAATCGCGGCGCCCGATCCTATCGGCGGCACGAGACAGTATTTTAGTAATGAGGGATGAGCGGCCTGCGCGGAGCACGCGATGTTTTGCATCTGCGTTGCCCCCCGCCTCTCCCCCCACCACGCCCCACACCCCGCCCCACCTCACACCTCACCCCGATCCTTGTTTCATTTAGCATACGGTATAGTGAAACCGAATAAACGTGTGATTATCTGTAATTCGCAGACAGTTATCTTTGTGGAATTTGTCGGTTCTATCTCTTTACCATCCGCAAATGAGAAATCACTGTTAGA